CCCTAAGACCTTAAACCCTTAAGCCCGCAAGGATGATCGGCGTGACTTCGAGATTCAGATGGGGGATCATGGACGCCTGATACTCTGTCCAATGTACCACAAGGATATCGCTATAGGAACGGAGTCCAACTATGATCTCTACGCCGACTATTCAATTCCAGGCCGAATCGTCTGGTACAGCCCTACGACAGGGCGAATTCGTACCTGGCAGTTCATGCTGCAGATGTGGAACACCACATTGGTGCAGTTAATGGGCGAAGTTGAGGGCGATGTTCTTCGACTTTGCATGCGGAAGCTCACAGGCGAGCTAATTTCGAACGTTACCATGCAGCGGAGTACTTGCTGGAAGGAAGCTAGGAAGCTGATGATCTCCGGCCTTCGGCCTCTACTCTCAAAAAAACTGGCTTTCGTCTCGTCCCCGGGAGAAGTCTTGACACCCGCCCACGATGAGAAGACGCTCAGTGAACTTCTGGGATGTATGAAAGGGGAGCCGGAGCTAGTTGAGGAGTGGAGACGTTTCCAGTAGTGGAGGAGTCTGCGTGCTTTGCTCTTTTTTGCAGTTTCAATCCCTTGTATTTGGAGGGTTGCTGCTATCATTCACTTTGCCTGCAAGAGAGAGGTGTCGCCATAGAGCCGCCGCGCAAGGGAGGATATCTCTTGAGTGACCTCTGTTGCGGCCGACGAGTTGTACCACGACAGGCAGCTATCGGGTAGAGCGAGGCCATTCTGACATAAAAGGGTCAATAAAGTATAGGCCAGCCAGGCTGCACTGGTACAACTCAGGGTAAGTCCTTTGTGACAGGTTTCACCCGAAGCCCTTCATTCGCTGTCCATGGCATGCAGGGTGGTCACTTACGGTCTGACGTTTAGGATTTAGGGTTTAGGGTTCATAGTCCTGGAATAAAACATCATTTCGCCAGTGTTTGCTGGCTTAGAGCATTGGCCTGCTGTTTACGGCATGGGCCAGAAGCTTCTATGCGAGGAAGTGGCATTCGTCTCTTTCGTCAGTGTCTATCTTTTGCCTTCGTCGGCCGTTTTTTCGGCCTAGTGCCTTTGTCTCGCGGGGCTTCTGCGGGGCAAAGATGCACGGCCGTGCCACGGCTACAGTGGGCGCCGCTGAAAGATCCCCACTTCACCCGAAACTCGAAACCCTAAACCCCCTAAACCCCGAAACTAACATCCAGTCTGCTTGAAGTTGTGACCTGATAGGCTCGAAATCGATCTAGGGTGATCCAGGTCTATCCTTTGCGGCGCCCAGAGTTGCAAAGAGGGCCCAGGGTACTGGTTGGCTCCAATAAGTTGAGCTCAGGTCTAACAGTATACTGGGATGTATGTATGTTTCTATGGTTTTATGCATTGTATGCATGCATGTATGTATGTATGTATGCATGTATGTATGTATGTATGTATGTATGTATGTATGTATGTATGTAATTGTGGATGCCTGTGCGTATGTATGTATGTATGTATGTATGTATGTATGTATGT